GTCGGAGGGGACGGCGTGCGCCCTGCGTCCGGGCGGTGTGTGGCAGTGTTGGGACACGCACACACACTTCGCGCCGCCGCGTGCTCGCGGGCCGTCACGGGGCTGGGCGGTGCCCCGCCCCGCGCCGCAGCCCACCTGATAGCCAGAGTAGGTGCTGGGCGGCTCGCCTGCTGTGCAGTAGACCTGTGCTCCAGGCGGCGGGGAGGGCCCCAGAGGGAGGAGGGGGCGAGCGGCGAGAGTTTCAACGAGGTGCCCATTTTGAGGTGGTGCCTCGCAACCGCATCGCGGTGCCGCCAGGCGGCCGGCACATCAGCGCCGCCAGCGGCAGCTGCTCGGCATGTGAGTAGCCCCTCGACTATTGCTGTACAGCCTGTGTCCCCTGATAGCAGGCGCGGCATGAGCAGCGCTGCTCGCCGAGCTTGCTTGTGCGCTTGGCAACAGCTGTGCATATCGTGCTTTTACGCCTTGCCGACACCACCCATCGCCCAAACAAACAATCACACACATTCATCTCACGCACACCTAAAAAGACATATATACCCAAAAAAAGAAGTTGCACGCCCAAGTTCACGCCGGACTTCTCAGTCCCCACCCCCCACCTCTGGCGTGAAGCTGCTGATGCAGATCCTCAGCTTCCCTTCGGCTTCCGGCTGCCCTATCTGCACCGCCTGCGCCCGCGTCAGCCGCCACCTGTCGGCCAGCCGCTGCAGCTGGCGGTCCTTAAAAAGTGTCGCATTGCTCAGCGGCAGCAGGGCGCTGGGCTGCGCAAGCGTCGGGCCGTGCGTGCTCCCCGCGTGCCCTGCGGCGCTCCTCTTCGAGGCCACGGCATCAGTGGCTGCAGACTCGCTGGCTGCGGCCGCTCGGGGCCGCCCGCGAGGCTGCTGCGGCGCTGGCGCGGCCAAGTCTTCGCGGCGGTGGTCGTCCGCCCTTGCCGCTGCTTCACGCGTTGAGTTGCTGCCGCTGTGGGGCGCCAGGCGCAGTAACTCAGGGTCAGAAAAGGCACATGGAAGCTTGAAGATGTTGTTGATGAGTATCAACAGCAGGACGGCCCGCATTCTTGCTCATCCGAAACTCGCTCTTCAGGCGTGCAGCGAAAATCATTGACATGAGTGCGAGCCGACAATCAAATATGCGCAGCCATTTTCCTGACACGCCTGCCTCCTTTCACCAACCGTGTCACCCCAGGGCACCTGGCACCACTTGACACTGACTCAATCATGACACATGCACACCCCAGACGCAAAGGTTGTGACGGCAGCCTAAGCACATCAGGCTTAAGAGCAGCACGTCCACCCCAAATGCGAGTCCCGCACCCCCTCAGAGCTATAGCGACGAACATCGGCTGTGTCGCCCGCCAGCTGCCCTCAGGAAGCTGGCGGGTAGGCTGCGCACACACTGGTACTGCGGCCTGCAAACCTGCATTTGTACGCGAAGGCGCCTCGGCCTGACCCCACCTCCAGGAAGTTGAGAACATGTTGACTATTGGATAACAAAGTGTAATTTGGTCGCTACCAAAGTATCCAGCTTGCGGCCTGGCCACCCCGGCGCACTGCCGCACCTGTCCCCCACAAGTGCCCTCCCCCCACTAGCCAAGAAAGGCCCAACGGATAGCTACCCATTACAAGCAGCGAGTCTCAGGGGGTACAAGAGGTGGGCGAGCCGCAGCGCCGTGAGCATCAGGACCGCCTACACCAGCAGACTGCCTGCACCAGATAAAGGTGACGACCTGTCGTGTGCGCGTTCACAACTGACATAAGCCGTTCCAGCGTGCTCGTCTGGGGCAGCGCGTTGTCTGGAGAGTGTACACACGAGCCCGCACAGATCCGGGTGATTTGAGGCAACCCCAACGCAAATGGGCAAACAAAGTGGGGGGGGGGGCAGGAGGAGGGCTGCCTCGCAATGCGGTTTGCTGCAACGTGTGCAGCAGGCACCGCGCGGCGCGGCTTGCGCCATCTCCAGGCAATCGGCCGCACGAGCGGGTCGGTAAATCCACAACATATCAAGCCAAGAGGGGGTTGCCGACGAGTCGGCTGGGGCTCGCGTGCGCCAGTTCCGCGTCCCTACGGGGGTGCGGCCGCCCAATCTGCACCGAAACAAGATAGCGACCCATCGGCGCCAAACAAGACAAGGTCAACGCAGGGCGGCAGCCCAGCGGGCGCCTAGTGGGCGTCCCACCCGCCGCCCCCGTC